TCCCTTTCTCACAACAAATTATTTAGTTGTTTTTTTTTCTTCTTCTCCCTCAACTGTCATCATTTACGTCTTCCTGCATCGCATCCAACGTTTTTTTTTTTTTTTTTTTTTCCATTCAATTCAATTCAATTCAAACTTTTTTCTCATATAATAATAATAATAATAATAAAAACATTTTCAATTTTTTAAAAAAGAAAACCATTTGACAGAAAAATCAATGAAAAAAGTCAAAAAAGAAAAATAAAAAAAAAAATGAAAGTTTGAAATGTTTTATATAAAAAAAAAAAGGAAAAGAATAAGTTCATATTTTTTTTTCTCCAAGTTTTCTCCAAAATGACGTAAACATAACATTTTTTTTATGGATTAAAAAATCCTTTTTAAAATTCAAAAACTGACCTCTTACTATTTTTATATATATATATATATATAAAACGACGAATAAATTCATATTAAAAAAAAAAAAATTTTTTTTTATAAACTTTACAATCGTTTTTTTTTAAACTACGTGAAAAACATTTTAACAATAATAATAATAATAATAAAAATTTTACAAAGGAAAAGTTTAAAAAAAAAGTTATTTGAACTTTTAAAAAAAAAATCGTTTTATTTTTCTATAATATATTCATTCGAAATTGAAAAAAAATCGACGTGTAAATAGAAAAATCAAATTTCATTTTTTATTTATATATGACGTGTTTGTAATTTAATTAAAAAAGGAAAAAAATGTCAATCAAATTAACAATCTTAGCTTTTCCTTAAATCTTTTCCTTTTTTTCCTCATGGAAAACCGTGGAAATCCGTAGAAAATTATTTAAAAAGAATGAAAAACGTTCGTTTGTAACGGTTTTTTTTTCGTGATGAAGATGCTAACAACAACAACAACATTATTCTGGTTATATTCGAAAAAAAACATTCAGAAATTTTATTCTATTACGTCATTATGACGTCACAATTTTAAAATGGCTACCTATTTCCGTGAGAGAGAGAGTAAACTACAAATACGAATTATTATTAACTCGTTTTTTTTACATATCGATAATCGATAAATCGATCGTTTAAACAATTAAAATCCGAATGAAAAAATTAATTTATAAAATTTTCGCGGTTTTTTTTTTTCCGTTACAATCGTCCGACATTTTTTTTTTTTTGTAAGAAAAAAGGTAAAGAGAAAAACAACCCACGCAACATTTTTTTTTTTTTTTTTTTATTTATTTTCACATTATTCTCTCTTATTTTTTTTTTCTTTTTCAAAATCCTCTTATTATTATTATTATTATTAATTTTTCTATTCGGATTTAAAAAAGTTTTTCTTTTTTTTTTTTTTTGCCCTGTTGAAATTTTCCAAAATCCTTTCTACTAAGAATTAACCTGATTTCTATCCGAATAAATTCCTACAAAACTTTTCCAGGTCAGGTCAGGTAAAAAAGTTTAACAAAAAAAAAAAAAATTCGATTATAATAATAATAATAATAATATCAAAAAAAAAAAAAAAAAATATCCAAAAATCAAAATTGAAACAAAAAAAAATTTCACAACTTTTAGTTTTCTAAAGGATTTTATTTCATTTCCCTCCCTTCTTCCCTCTTTCCTTCCTTTCTTTTATTTTTATTCGATCGACAGGGAAAATCGTCAGGGAAAAAATTTCCCCGTTCCGCCATTGTTTTTTCGTTTTTAACTCCTTATAACGTCTAATTTACATTTTATAATTGATTATTATTCTTTTTTTTTTTTTTTTTTTTTTTTTAAAAAATTCGTTTCGATTATGTAAATAATTCAACGGAAGCCATTTTGTTTTATTGTTATTATTATTATTTAATAATTTGATTCATTTAAATCGATAAATTTAAAAAGGATTATAATAAAAAAAAAAAAGAAAAAAAACTCATTCACGAAAATTAAATTATTATTATTATTATTATTATTACGTAATCAAATATGGCGTCGTCGATATTTTTATTTATTTATTATTAACGGTCGATCGTTCGATCGAGTTATTTATTTAATGATAATAATAATAATAATAATAATAAAATTATTAAATGATTAATTATTTTTTTTCATTAATAATAATCAATCAAATCAGGGAAAAAATTTTTTTAATTTATTTTATTTATGACGAGAGTATTAAACGAACGACTTCGAAGGTAACGGAAAAAAAAATGGCGCCCGAAAAATATCAATAATAATAATAATAATAATTGTTTTTTTTGTATTTATCGTAATTATTAAATATAAAATTAAAATAATTAATAAAAAAGTTTATTTTTTCCCCGTTTTTGCGGTAAATTTGCATGAAAAAATAAAGAAAATTAAAATAAAATTTTGGAAAATTTTTCGGAAAATTTTTTTCAACTCCTTCCACGTTTTCTTTCCCTTACTATATTATTATTATTATTATTAATTTTTATAATAAAAGTTTGTTCTTATCGTTTTAATTTTGATTTTCGCACACTTTTAATTTAAACAAAAAAAAAAAAAAACGAAAAGTTTCCCAAAAGTGGGAAAAGAGGGAAGGGGGGGGAGGGAAGGAAATGAAAATTTTGTTTTCATTAAACCCCGAAAAAAACACGAATTTTAAATGTTGTTTATGTGTTTTATTATCATTATCATTATTATTATTATACGTATAAAAAAAAAGAAAAACTTTTTTAACTTTTATAAAATTTCAAATTTTTTTTTTTTTAACTTTAAATGTTATTTTAATAAGGAATTTCCCACGCGCATGCGCACAAACCCGTGCGTTTTTTAATAACACGATAAATTTTATTTATTTATTTATTAATTCTCACGGGTTAGATTAACGTACATAAATTTATTTAAATATTCTTTCAATATATAATAATATTCGTTACGTAATTTTTTATTTTTATTACTCTCACGTGACGTCATCATATATTCGATAAAAATTAATTTTTTCTCTTTGTTTGTCATAAACTTTCTCAAACGTTTTTTTTTTTTTTTTTTCTATTTTTTTTTTGTCTTCAATTTGTAATTTTTATTACTTAAATAAAAAAGTCGATTCTTTGTTAACAAGGGAATAAATTTTTTTTTTCAAAAAAAAAAACAAACAAACGGATGCCATGATAATAATAATAATAATAATGAATCGTTAATTTTATCGATTAAAAAGAAAAAAATTATTATTATTATTATATCGCGCAACATAAATTTTTTTTCTCGACGGATAATATTCATCATTATTATTAACAGTCGTCGTCGTCGTCGTCGTGATGATGATGATATGAAAGAAAATAGAAAATTTATAAAATTTTCCAAAGTTAAATTTGTAGTAAATTGTGGAAAATTTATTTTTATTTATTTAAAGAAAAAGACAAACAAATAAATCAGACTTAAAATGTCACTTTCATATAATTTTTATTTTTATTTAAGTCGTTATATTATTTAAAGAAGATTTCGACGTCGTCCGAATTTCCCCCTCAAAAAAAGGACTTTCCATTAAAATTTTCCTCTTATCCTTTCCTTCCTTTCCCCCCCCCCCCATTCCTCCCCCCCACGCAAAAAGAAAACGATAGTTTCGACGTTTCTTAGTTTCAACATTTGTTTCCTATCGGCCATTATTTTTTTTTTTTTTAAAATAAAATACCTGAACAATTTTTTTTCCACCCCCCTCCTCCCTCTTCTCCTCTCCCTCCCACCATCCCCCTTTTCCTCTCTCTACTCCCTCCCCCGAAAAAAAAGAAAAAATTTCGAAACGAATTTAAAAAAAAAAAAACGGCATAAATTTATTATTATTGTTATTATTTTAAACGCACGTCCGCCATTTTTTTTTTTACTTATTTATTTTCCATTTCCGCATCCGTTCGCATCATTTTTTTTTTTGACCAATCAACCGACCATTCATTCAATCATTCATTCATTTATTTATTTACATAAAATAAATAATTAAATTTTATTTATTTATTTCGAATAAATTTTAATGCTCATCATTATCATCATCATGTGAAATTTAATTTTTTCCTTGTCGCGAGTGATACGTGCGTAATTAATATTATCAAACAAATCATTCATTCATTCATTCATTCATTCATTCGTAGGATTCGGGAATCGAAACGTGTGTTGTTAAAATAAATCATCATCATCATTGATCGCAATATATTACTATTATTATTATCATAAAACTTTCTTCTTTTCATTCTTTCGTTTCTCCATTTGTAAATTCTCCATTTTGAAAATTTTTTTGGACAAAAGAATTTTTTACTGGAGAATTTTTTATCGCGTCATTTCGAGGTCGCCCGTTTTTTTTTTTTTTGTATATTTTTAATGACGTGTATTATTATATGTTTAATAACATCATTCACTCTCTCTCTCTCTCTCTCTTTCTCCTTCCTCCTGTCTCCCTGTCTGTCTGTCTCTTTCTTTCTCTCAACTCCATTGTTACTTTACGTTCGTTATTTCAAAAGAGATTTTATTAACGTTAAACGTTCATCATATTAAAATATCACCGGTGCCGCCACCGCGAGCGCCACCGTCGCCACCACCACCACCACCGCCACCGCAAATTGTCATTTTTAATTATTTCTTTAAAGACCACATCCGAAAATGGGGAGAAGGGGGGGGAAGAGAGAGAGAGAAAGACGGGAAAAAAATTTTTTTTTTTTTTACCTTCGTTAAACGTCTGCTGCATTCGTACAATGACGTCGTTATCATCCACATCATTATTATTATCATAGTTATTAAAAAAAAAAATACGATTACATGTGTGCACGTGTGCACGTGCGCGCCACGGAAAAAAAAATTTTTTAGTGAAAAGTAAAGGAAAATAAAATAAAATTACAAAAAATTTTCTTTTTTCCTCCAAATTTTATTTTATACGCACGCGCGTTTACATAAATAAATATATATATATATATATATATATATATATATATATATATATATATATATATATATATCTACGCTAGCAGTAATGATGATGATGATGATGATGATGATGATGATTATGATGATGATAATAATAATAATTTATCGAGAATTATTTCCTAATAACGTTCGTCGCTCCATGTAATGGTATAATCTCGATAAACTTTTTTTAAAAGATCAGCCGTAATCGAATGGTCGGCTTTTCCAAATCCCTAAAAATATTAAAAAAATCATCATCATCTCATCATCGTCGTCATCGTTTTTTTCCGCGGCGAAATACTTATTGATAATAATAATAATAATAATAACAATAACAAAATTTACCTGTGATAAATCGTGAACTTTCATTTTTTTCTCATTTGGCTCGTGAAGAATTCTTCCACCTCCCAAACATTCCGAATCTAATTTTTTAGGTTCGAGTTCTTTGCTCGTCACTTCGTCGTAAATATCACCTGAAAATCATCATTATCATTATTATCATTATCATCAATCGTTCGGGAAAGAAAAGAAAAGAACACAATAATAATAATAATTTACTAAAAATCTAAAAATTTTTTTTTTGTTTTGTTTTCTTTGACGTTTTCATCGATTTATCGAATTATCTATCGATTGTTCGAAAAACAAAATTTAAAATAAACGGATTTTATTATTATTATTATTATTTTGGGAAATACGAAGAGAATGAAAGAAAAAAACAGAAAAAAAAAAGAAAAAACAACAAAAAAAATTTGTTGCGTGAACGGAAGCCATTTTGTTTGTCTTTTTCTCCTTTACCGACATCATCATCATCATTATTACTATTATTACTTTTTGACGTATTTATATGCGAAAATTTTTTTTTTTTTTTTTTGCTTATTAACTAAAAGTAAATGCATGTGTCAATGCATTTTCATCATTATTATTATTAATATTAATCAAATGATAAAAAAAAAAAAAAAAAAAAAGAGTTGAAAAATTTTTTTTTTTTCCGGGTCACGCAAAATTTATTATTTTTGTTTCGACACATTCGTGATGAAATTTGTTTTTTTTTTTTTTTTTGGAGGGGGAGGAGAGGAGAGGAGAAGAGAGGGGAAGAGGAAGGGAAGGAAAAACAAAAGGGAGACGCCCGATTTCCGTTAAATCATTTCAAAATAGTAGGAGAAACACCAACCGCACAACATCAAACGAAAATCTTTCCACAAATCGAATCCCCTTCGATTCTGTCGCAAATCTATAAAAAATAATAATGATAATGATAACAATAATCGTCGGAAGAATAACCCGGGAGGAAGAAGGGAAGCGAGGGGGGGAGGGAAATTCATAAAATTTTTATTAATAATAATAATAAATTCACACCCACAAAAATCAATATTAATAATAATGATAAATTATTTTTTTAAATAAAAATAAAAAATTATTATTATTATTTTTTTTTTAAATGTGTCGACATTATTCCCCGGTTAAAAAAAAAATTTTTTTTTTTTTTTATTCGAATTTTAATAAAATAAAATAGAATAAAAAAAAATGTATCGATGATTTCATTCAATAAAACGATTATTACTTTTTTTTTAAACGTTCCCGATCCCGATCCCGTTCCCATTCTCATTCCCGTTTCCATTCCCGTTTTTTCTTTTTCTTCTTCTCTCTTTTTTTCGATTCATAAATTTCATATAAAGTTTTTAAATAAAAAAAAAAAAAAAAAAAAAAAAAGATCAACGTCATCATCATCATCATCATCATTATTACTTTTTATTAAAAAAAAATAGAGAGAGAGAGAGAGAGAGAGAAAAGAAAACAAAAGAGAATATAAAACAAACGGGGAAGTCGCCAAAAGGTTGAATGCACATAAAAAAAAAAAAAAAGTAATAACTATTTAATTTTCTTTCCTGTTACTTTTCCACCCCCCCCCTTACTCCCTCGCCCCCTCTCCCCTTCTGTGTTCTGTCGCCATTTTAAAAAAAAAAAAAAGAAAGAAAATTATTATCATCATCGTAATCGTAATCGTTATTATTATTATTGTTATATTGTTTTCGAAAATAAAATAAATTATGTAACCGATACGAAAATAAATAAATAAATAAAATATTTTACGTAATAAATTTATTTATTTTCCATTTTTCCCCCAATGATGATAATGATGATGATGATGATGATAAAATAAAAACTGACAAATGGGTGGCGAAGGCGGCAACAGTAACAACAACAACACCAACAGCAAAAAGAACAACAGCATCGAAAGAATGAGAAGAAGAAGAAAGCAAAGAAATGGGAGGAAAAAAAATTTCCCCTCGCCCCCCTCGCTGCCCCCAACTCTCTCTTTATGTTATTATTTACAAAATTTAATTTTAATTCTATACAACCCGTTAAGTGCGTATAAAAATAATAATAATAATAATAATAATAATAAAAAAGCGAAAGAAAAAAAAACCTTCGAGAAAGTTTTAAAAATTATTTTCTTTTTAAACACATTATCATCATCATCATTATCATTATCATCATCATCATCATCATCATCATCATCATCGGTTAAATAAATTACAAAATTGTAATAAATAATTTTATGGTTTTCATTCACCGTAAATTTTCTTCTTTTTTTTATTACATCCAACTCAACCTTACGCCCTCTCGTCCTCCATTTTCTTTTCTTTTTTTTTTTTGTCTCTTCCGTTTCCGCTCATTAATCTCACACCTCAACGAAAAAATTTTTTTTTATTTTTTTTATTTTTCCTCAATAATAATAATAATTCTAACATTGTCGCAAACCAGTGATATTTTTCTTCTGTTTATTTTTACTTTTTCTTCCCCCCTCGCTTTTCCGTCGCTTATTTCTAATTCAATTCATTCATTCATTCAATCAATCAATCAATCAATCATTCATTCATTTATAAATTCAAATCTTAATCGCAAGTAAAAGGAAAAAAAGAAAAGCGTACATTTTTTCGATAAAATTTGAAGTTTCTCCCTCTCTCTCTCTCCCCCTCCCCATTAAAAAAAAAAGCAAACCTATTATCGACGTTTATCTTTACGTCATAAATTATTATTATTATTATTATTATTATTATTATTATTATTATTATTATTATTAACTTTACGAAACGATATCCGGTTATTATTACGTTGCGGTTCATTAAACGAAATAATGAAAAAGATATATATATATATATATTAAAAAAATAAACAACAGGAAAATTCACGTCAGCAAAATTTTCATTTCCCCTTCCTCTCCTCTCTCCCCCCGTCTTCTCTTTTATCCTTTAATTTTCGTGTGAAAAATCCTAACCCTCACACCACCCCCAACCGTCACCCTCAACCACCTCCCCATAAAAAAAAAGGTTAAAAAATAAAATATAAATAAAAAAATTTCCAACTTTTATTTAATAAAAAA